AATAAAAACAAGTTATAATGTGATGTTTTACTTAGTTATCGTCATTCTCACGAAGCATCTCTCATATTATGTAAATAAAATCTTTCATAAGATATTAAATATTACATTAGTTAGCCATTATTATGCCACCATCAGCTCACTCTGACAGATTTGTGGTTAAATCAGGTTAAAACCTGGAATTGTTTTCAGGGAAAGAAGAAGAAAAGAAAAGGGTCTTGTTCAGTGTGTCTAAGGCTCGCTGGCACCTGTAATGTAAGGCACTCATTACCTTCAATGATGCATTACAGCTTCCTAATGATGGAGCCACAGTAATGGACCTAACTAATGACCGGACTTAAGAAAGAACATATTCTAATAGCTGGAGCAGAACTGGAGGGAAAGTCAAGGTGTCAGGGAGGAGAAGGAATTAGATCTGTAGATGGCTGGAGAAGCTTAAATGACTGAGGTCAGACTGCAAATACAATAGATCACAGGCTATGCTTAATACTCCAACCCTGTTAGTTTAATATTTTGTTTCTGTGATTAAGTTAAGACATGATTAATTAAATAATTGAGAGTATTTATACCTAGAAATTAAATTAACATGCAGGAAAAAGCACATTCAAGAAACACTGCTTTATGCAGTGTGAGAGACACAGGGATCATGATCAAGTGGAATCAAGCTTTTATCAGAATTGTATTGCTAACCTCAGTAGATGCTCTGGGACAATAAGCTGTCAAAACTGATTTTACAGAAGATTAGTTTTTTTGTTGGTCTTAAACCCTGTATTTCTAAAATATCAAGTTCTGGGAAAGAGAGGCTTTGATTTCAAATTGATCAAATTAGCTTTTCCATGGAGTTTCAGCATTTTATTGATTTTAAGGGGTGTGGAAATGTGCCAAATTTCTAATTTCCTAATTGTAATCTAGTTTAAAGGATTTCTAGATGGATACAGCACATGTAGGTCTTGCTCCTTTGAGTTTTACAGGACAATATCAGATATCAGTATGATAACTGAATGCATATACATAATTTTGGTATCCTGACCATTGTGATTCTTTGCCACCAGCATCAGCAGATCCCTTGTTGTCTGTGTGTGATGTTCAGAGCTGCCACCTTTTAGTCAATTAGGTGACTAACCAGGTGTTAAACTCTCTTGGTCAACTAAGAGAATTTGAGCTGAACAGTCAATGTTTATGGTCTCTTTGTGAATAACAAGCTTTTATTAGCCATTAAATCATCATAACACCACAAATACTAAATGGTTTTTATTAAGTACTAAGAGGTCCTTCTGCATTCACCTGTGTAGGGACAAGACTGAAGACACAATGTCATAGGTTAAACTAACCAGTCGACAGGTTGGAGAATGCAGAACCAGGATTGTTCTAGTTATGATGAGAGCTTAGATGAGTGTATTTCTGATCTGAGGATGTGTAAGGTGGTGGTGAACTTACAGTTGCGCCTCCACAGTCCACAGTAAATGTCTGTGAGCTCCACCTAATATAACTGGAAAAGTGATGCTGCACATCCATGACTGTACTGTTCCTTTATAGGATAATAAACATATTGAAACAACATGATGCTGTACTTAATATTGATGAACCACATATGACTTTAACTTTAACTTGAGGTTATTCTGACTGTTCCTCTTAATTACAAAATAAAGGAGCATCCTGAACACAGAACACCTGAGAGCGGGGTCAACTATTACCAGCAGTAGTGAGGAGACATTTTGAAAGCTGCTGAACACCATTGTGTTAATGGCACCTATTGTGACTTTCATTGCTATTTTAATAACCTCCCAAACACCACCAATAACACACACACGCGCACACACATGCACTCACACATCCCCCACACCACACTCTCCGTGACACACGCCTCTTCTTCCTCATTAAGGAAATCGCTCTTCTTTGCTGATTATTTTATTTGAAGCCGTGATTACCGCTCTGTGCACCAGATCACGCAGTAACGGAGACCAGGCGGAGGGCAGCGGGTCTAATTGGGGCATGAGATGCGCGGGGTGGTGCAGCAAGGCTGGGTGGCCGAAGAGGGGAGCCTCTAATGGGTTTGCCTGTCTGTGGCTCTCCGCTCTCGCCTCTCTCTGCTTGCATCTCTCGGGCTCGGATGCAACGCACTTATTGGTGTGTTTCTTATTCCTCCGACTGTCATCAAATCACCTGCACAAAACTACTGTGTGATTTGTTAGAGAGCCGTTTCTGCGGATTGGAAAATCGATTTTCCTTTTAGATTTCTATAACTGAGTGAATGCAGATGCCTACGAGGCGATGCAATAGGCCTGTTCTCCTACTGGTCCATGTCACAATGTGTCTGTGGTGTAAAGGATCTTATTCCCGCATCTGCCTTTTGTTACTTGTATTGTTTTAACCTGTTCTGCAAAGGCCCATATGAGCAATGGATTTAACGCAGTTTGATTGCTAAAAAACCGCGGAGAGGGTGGACACGGAATTCTTGATCTTTGAAATTGCTCTACAAAATTGCATTTGTTTTTGGTGCGCTTCCATTAAAAGTGTCTCCTCGCGTGTAAACAGCCGTTCCGCACTCAGATGCGCCGCATTAACCCGGGAGGATTGTATGTGAGTGTGTTTTTACTGGGGAAGATTGATGCGGTCCAGTTAGGGAGGCTGAGTGAGACATAGACCCATTTCAAGTGGGTTTCTCTTATTACAGCAATAAGTTACAGCCTGAGGATCGGACAGCTGAGGGGATATCTGCTATCCGGGCTGTTTTCACTGCAACAAACCACAATATCAATATTTATCATGTAGGTCTTCAGAAAAGTAGGCTGTCAAAAACAAATACAACCTTTTCATTTTTGCACGTGCCTTATCTTATTATGTAAACAGGGCGGCCATATTAATGACTCTGAATTAGGTTTAGTCCTTTAAAGGCAGACTAATAGCCTACTTTCAAAAATAATAATCCAATAGGCTATACATTTGTTATTGTTGTTATAAAATTATTAGTTGTATAATTATGTATCTGTTTATCTTTATTTATTTTTCCATAGAAAGGAAATATTGGATAACAAAATTACCCAACACCATTTTTTTGTGATAATAATAATAACAAGAATGACAATAATAACTTTATTTGTATAGCACTTATCTAAAAATGGTTACAAAGTACTTGACAAAATAAATGAGATAAAAACAAACCAACAACAAAGATAAAATATAAAAATATAAATAATTAAAGTAATAATAATAGTTCCGGTAATGCACTTTTATTTTTTTATTGTTTTTAAAAAAAGCAAACTTCGTCATATTAGACTCGGACAATAGGTTGAATAATTGCCTTAAAATAATCCTGAATTAGAATTACACTTACTTACTTTGTAATTTACCCAATAGAATAAATGATTAATTATTCATATATTTATTAATGCTCATTTTGTGTAACAAGATTGCAGCAGAAATGAAAATTATCTCTTGGGCTGAGTTCATTTCAACAATTTAGCATTTATTTATTTATTTATTTTCTGTTACATCAGTTGTCTTCATGCTTACACTAATTGGAAATCAAACACCTTCCAAAGCATACAGACCGTCTCTCCAGGCTCAAGCCCTTCACAAACGCAGGGTTGGCCTTACAACTCCCAACACAGACATTCCCTCTCCTCTCTCCTGGTTTACAGGTCTGAATCAGACGAATCGAGGCTCTGCTTCTGCCGCTGATTGCTTCTCCTGAACCTTCGGGAGCTGGTCACAGCTTTCCTCATCTCAGTGGACCAAGCACCAGTCCATTTCCTAAAGTTTTCACGCTGTGCCACATATAGGCTACTTCCCTGCGTCCCGGCAGATTGTGGTTGAGGAGCATAAAAGATGAGCTGCCTATGTGGCGCAGGAGGAGAGAGAGGAGTCCTCGCTCGGACGCCTCCTTTGTGCGGCTGCAAAGAAACCTATTTGGTCCCAGGCGGTGGTCTATTCACCAGGCTCGCCCTGACATCTGCCAAAAGCCCTCTCTAACCAGCACTGTCTGGAGAAGTAAGAGTGGAGCGCAGATCAATGGCTGTCCTGTTAATTGTATAATAGACCTACTTATGGACCTCTGCTAAAGGGGCACAATCGTTTAGGGTCTACCACGTCTGATTCTGTTTGAACCAAACAGGCCTAAATACCTTTAATTGCGCCCGCGTTGATGAAAAGTCGATGGGAGTTAAAGCGGCCGATCACTAACAGCGCTTAAATCCATCTGTACTCGTTTATTTATTTATTTCCTCGATTTGTCTCCACAAATCACCTGCCATGGGGGAATGGGAGCGATATTCGTTTTGTTTGTGATCCAAGGACGGGAGGGAAGTGAGGCTCTGGGGTGCTGAGGCCTGGCGTTATAAGGCTTCCCAGAGTCCACATCCTGATCTGTACAGAATATCTGCTGTTCCTCTCAATGTTAAAAACAAAAGTTCTACATACGAGGACGAATCAGCTCGAAAATTGTTTTAATTTATAGATTTTCTTAGTTAATTTAGGAAATGAATCCTCCCTTTCTGACGTACGATTACTGTTTGTAAACTAAGTCACACAGCCCAGTGATTTGAAAATTGAGATTTTGATCTGGCTCATTATTTAATGGCAGCACATTTTCTGGCTCAGATACCTGTAAGCTCCTATCTCCTCTCCTAAATAAAAACTAGCCTTTCATGAGCTCACCTCCAGTATTTTACATGTAAATCCACAAACAGGAGTCCTGTCATGGTACGGGCTATATGAGATTAAACAAACACATTAAGATGTTTAACGTGGAATAATTTAAGCATGAAAAGCTAATAAATCAGAGGACGGAATGGCACAGGATTGAATTGAATTGTAGTGTTTCGTGCGCGTTTGGGGCGCGCATGCCTGCGTGCCTGCGTGCGTGCGTATGAGTGCGAAAAAAAAACGGAAAAAAGAGGGGGGAGTCACGTCGCTGACATTTCCAAGCTCCCGCTCTGATTGGCTCTTATTTGAGGAAGCTCACGGGTTCTTTCAACTAATAAGCGCCTCCCCGTCGCTCTAAAGGGCATTATAATGCAAGGGACCTCCTTTTTTTAACCACAAACCGAATTTTCGTTCATTTAGACGATATATACTTTTTAAATTGCCCCAAAGTTGTAGGGTTTTTTTGGAGCGCCTTTCGCCCTGGAGCGGTACGCGATGCTTTCTCACGCCGACCTCCTGGATGCTCGGCTCGGTGAGTTATCATCACTAAACTCCGGCCCTAAACTCCAGTGTAAGATTTCAACTTCTTGTTCAACCTTGTGAAGTGATAGATAGACTGTGTAGATAATTATGTTAACAGCTAAGTGGTTTATTGTTGGTCGAAGCAATTCTTTACAGTAATTTATCAGGAATGAGAAATGATCTGACAGCAAAAATTACGGTATAAAATTACGACCTTAAGCTTCATTGAGTTTATTTGTCATGTTGTTTAAATGGATCTTCCTGTTTGTCATAAAGAAGCAAAGCTATTTCATGTATCTCTCATTTAAAGATGCTGCGCTTTAAGAATTGCCATGTATATACTCAAAGCCTCTCTCCTCCTCATCCTCTCAGGGATGAAGGATGCTGCAGAGTTACTCGGACACCGAGAGGCTCTCAAGTGCCGGCTGGGTGGTGGGGTGCCAGACCAGGGGCATCCGGGAGACATGGCCCCTGGTTCAGACTCTGTAGAAGGAACCACTCTCCTGCCGGGAGAAGACATCGCCACTGTGGGAACCAACTCTGCCGGCATGCCGGTGAACGGGAAGGAGCAGGAGAAGCAGCAGCAGCAACCGCAGCAGAGCTCCGGTCAGACCTCCAGCCAGCAGAAACAGAAGCGGCACAGGACGCGCTTCACCCCGGCGCAGCTCAACGAGCTGGAGCGCAGCTTCGCCAAAACCCACTACCCTGACATCTTCATGAGGGAGGAACTTGCGCTGAGGATCGGTCTCACCGAGTCCAGAGTTCAGGTAAACAGTTGTGCAATGTGGATGATTTGACAGTATGCAGACACTGGCATGCAGTGGCAGGGTGTGGTTGTCCAGACTTGATCTTGTAGGGTTTTTCAGCATCAAATAAATGTCCAAAAATCCTCCTTTGAATCCATCTGGAAGGCATTGAGCAAAATGGGCTAGATTCATATCAGGAGCGGGATCATGACCGGTGTTCTCTCTTATAAAAGACAGTGTAGTCACTGATGATTTTTTTTTTAATTAGCACAATGTATTTTCAGTTATTTGTCACTCATAAATGTTGTGGCCAGTAGAAAGATTGGGTGCAAATGCTTGTAATATCAAAGCTAACGGGTGGAGTGGACTGGTGATTAAGTTACATCAAACATAACCTAAACTGTACTTTTATGTACTGTCATTAAAGTGATAGAATCACTTAAAATATTTCGTTTTTAGGTTTATACACAGCACTATAACCTGCCCTACGCACAATACATGGAAAACAACTCTGCATAAAAAGGGTAGATTCGTTGTTTTCTGATATTTATAATTAAGAGTTATTTTAGAAAATATTCCAATTCAAGCCTATTTTAAGTGAATTATATGATTACAGTATCTTATCATTTGTTCAGCCTGATAGTAAGCGATATTTATTTTAAGAAGCCGAGCCCCACCTCACATATAAAGCACTCTGTCCAAGGTGCTGAAACATTTCTGCTGATAACGAGCAGGAATCCGGTCAGAAATATTCAGATGGATTTTAGAAATATTTTAGAAAATATTGCTCAACACCACCTGTGGGGTCTGTACTCGGAAATATTGAAATCGGGTGTCTGAAAGTTGTTTTTTTTTACATTTGTTTCTGTGCAAATTTTAAATGTGGACCTGCAACATTTGCACAAAATTACACAAGTGTTATTAAGCCCTTGATAATTATTTTTATATATTTTTTTACCATAACAAACCCTGGACAAAATAAGAGTATGTCTAGAAGAATTTCATTTTCAAACTATAATTCCCACTTTTTACTTAATTATAGGGCGGGAATGTGTGGCACATATTATTATTTATTTTTTTGGCAAATAAAAATGTATTTAATAACAGTATTATTTTTTTTATTTAACATGTGAAGCACTTTTTTAAAAAAGCTCAAACTGGCTGTGACATACAGTGCTTCTTTTTGAACAAGCATGCAGGAACATACCGAGCTCTAATAAACCAAACACATTATCAACCAATTTCAGTCTTATTTATAACAGTGAACGGGTTATTAACCAGTGATGTGAAATTCATGCAAATGATCCCACTGAAAGCAATAAAACCAGTATAATCATTAGTCAACTTAATAATCAATCCTTTATTCTATCTGGTGCAGGATGCTAACCGCTTGGTGCAGGTCTGCTCGTGCTTCGCTGTTGGTAAACATTAGTGCAGGCCCGTGCAGGTGCAGCCTTCAGTGGGCGTGTTGCCCCAACGTGCGTGCGTGCGTGCGTGCGTGCCTCCACAGCCTCTCCTTTAAAATGCTCCATCAGCGACGTCTTAATAGGACTCAAGAATATATTGTACTTTTTTAATGGAATGAGAAATTGCATTTTCTTTCCCCCCCCGAGTGTAATGGGTTTGGGCGACGTTTCACGGATGGCTGAGCGGAATGAGAGCGAGATTTCACTTTTAATACGGAGGCATCGACTCACGGGCTCGCGCGCGCATTAATCACGCCCGAGGATGATGAAATCTTTATAAAGCCCAAACGGGGACAAGCGTGCGTTTTTTAGCTGTGTACGTGGTCTCGGCGTGTTTGTGGTTTTCGCGCTTGTGCGTGTTTGGATGGGTAGATTTTATTTATTTGTGTGTGTGTGTGTGTGTGTGTGTGTGTGTGTGTGTGTACAGTAATGTTTGTATTTCAGGCCACACGGTATTTAGGGTAATTTTCAGTTAATCTGCTTGTAAATAAGATGTTAGAAAGATAAATTGTTCGGCCAACTGCTGCGGAACACAAGTAATAAAACCATCTGTGACGGCTGTTTTTTTTTTAAATACAAAGAGCCCTGTTGTATTTTATTTACGATGAAATAACGTTAGTGTTTTCACTGTTTTAGTTCCATCTATAGCTGTTTGGAAACAGAATAACATGTTAACAGCAGCAGAATGGTTGATATTTGCAGTTTCTGAGTTATATAGGCTTTACTTATTTTCTACTAGAGGGATTCATGAATGGTACCTGCTATTAGACAGTGCTCCCTCAAAGATCTGCACTAGAGATCGTGAATATATTGTGATAAGAGGTCTTGAGGTCAGTTGCAGAAGGTCTACATTTATGTCTTGTTAATTTCGTTTGCCTCAGTGGTCAAACAGTATACGACCAGACTCAGGCCGGGCCCCATAGCTAGTAGAGCATCTGTGTTGCTCAATGACACTGTAGCAGGGTGGATCGGTTATATTGTATTAATATTCTCTAGACAAGACCCTAATGTCCTATTAGAGCCCTAAAGTTTGTCTGAGTGTGGAGAGACTTCAGTGATATTATCGTGCGTAATGGTAGTGTTCTCCCGTGGTAACACACACTGTAGGGACATGCTTCCACCTTGCTGCCCTCCTCACGGTGTAATAAACAGATACTCCAGGCATATGCTCCTCGGTCTGTGCTTCTGGTGGCTCACGGTTTTCTCTCTCTGCTTACAGGTCTGGTTTCAGAACAGACGCGCTAAGTGGAAGAAAAGGAAGAAGACCACCAATGTTTTCCGCTCCCCGGGGACGCTGCTCCCAACACCGGGCCTGCCACAGTTCTCTGCCGCGGCCGCCATGGAGAACAGCCTGTGCTCCTTCCACGCCAACGACTCTCGCTGGGCCACGGGGATGCCAGGGGTGTCCCAGCTGCAGCTCCCGCCGGCCCTGGGTCGCCAGCCGGGAATGCCACAGTCTCTGTCACAGTGCAGTCTGGGTCCAGGCCCGCCACCAAACTCCATGGGTCTCTCCAACGGCCTGTCCTCCAACGGCTCCGGTCTGCAGTCCCACCTCTACCAGTCGCATTTCCCTGGAATGTCGGCCTCTCTCTCCGGCCCCACGAACGTAACGGGCTCCCCGCAGCTGTGTAGTTCCCCGGACAGTGACATGTGGAGAGGGACAAGCATCGCGTCACTGCGGCGCAAAGCGCTGGAGCACACAGTGTCCATGAGTTTCACTTAGTGACTTTTCAAATACACGCCACCACACCCCTCTCCTCCAAACTCCCTCTCCCAGCCCAGCCCTGTGGCTCTTTTTCTGTTTTTATTCCCGCTATTTAGATCAAAACGTGAGAGCGAGCGAGCCAATCAGGCCTGAAAATGTGAGAAAATGGAGACTGTATGTGACTTCATCTAGACATAATGACGAAAAGAAAAAGGACAACACTGATGGACAAATGGAAGGAAAAAAATAACTTGGGTTTGGGGTTATTTATCTTGTTAATTCAAAAGGATTTTATCAACTATTGATGATAAATACTATTGTAATGATCTCTAGACTATAGGCCCTAATTACTGGGAGCCAAACAATCGTCGTATTTACGTTTTCACTGAGTGTGTCTTTACGCACACATGTTATTGTGTTCAGGTGAAGTTGTGTTATGTCAAACGGTTATTTATAAGATTGGGTATACATTTTGGTAACAGCCTACCAGACACGCACCATACTGTAGGTGGGCCTATTGAACTGGGTCTCAGGCATGCACTGTGCATGTGGATTTAAACGCTTGGATAATTTAAGGAGAAAATGGTGCCCACTCAGATTGAAGAGGTACCTTTGTTAGGCGACCCCAGTCTCGTCTGCATGAGACGGGAACATAAAATCTAAAGAGGAAAAAAATGCAATGATCTTTCAGTAGGCCTACTCTGTTTTAGGATGTTTTGTGTAGATAAAACATTCTTGCTATGTACCCGCTGGTCTTTTTTGTGACATGTTTTAACTTATTGTATGTGCTATTACTTGACACATTTCTTAAATGTTTGATCTTACATCGAAATGCACCACATTGACGGGTTTGTACCAATTTAAAATGAAGAAACAAATAAAAGTAATTTTCAAGAATGTCAAAACAAGAATGATTCATGTCTCCATTGAATTGAACGAGGTATCATAACGACCATTTTGTACAAATTTCTACAGGCACTGAAAAATATGTGACCCCAGTACCCTTGTTCTAGGTTGTAGATGGTACTTTATATTATTTAATTGTGCAGGAATTTACTTTATTTGGATTACATCAAAAATGATCATTTGATTATTACAATATTATTGTTTTATATATAGGCCTATATGATGGGCTTGACTGCTAAGATACTGTATATAGCATATATATATATTTACTATATATATGTTTTTTTCTCCAGTGTTTGAGGTGACAGGGTTAAAGGGTTTATGAAGGGTGACTGGTCCCATGGTCCCACGGTGGCAGACAGCAGCGGTAAAGATGTCAGTGCTGTGATGTGACGGTCATTGCTTTTAACCATGACGGTCATCCCACTGAGCGGACTGGATGGACTGTAACTAAACTAGAGGAATCACAGGCCTGTGTGTGTCTATGTCTATAGTGTGTACCAGCATACAGTGTCTACAGCTTTTATTTTAAGGCTAAAGTTGGCTGATGATCTCAATCTCACGAAGCAGAAATGACATAATCGATCAGTTGCAGAAAAAGTTGCTGTAATATCCAACTGGGGTTATGATGGGATTGTCACAGGAGAAAATACAAGGGCGCTCTGTTCTCATATGAATGTTACAGAAATATGCATAACTGCAATTAGCCTGTCAATAACCCTAATAGACTATACCTATCAACCTTTATCTGGGTCCCACTTTAGTCTGATATACCTGCAGGTTACTCCTGTGTATATGACATCCCACAGCAACAGTGCCATCTTATATTAGGTAGCTGATTGTGTACATACTGTCCAGTATTTTACTGCGGTGTCATTAAAGTGGTTAAGGCGATCTTCACTTTTGAGTTACTGATGGTCCAAGGCACTCTCACTGTATAGGTTTCATATTATTATTCACACAGTTTAAAGAATCAACAGTTTATCTCTGGCACCGGTTATTGGCGGTGGTACATGTTTAATACTTCTGCAGGGTCATAGTGAAGATACACCTATAGAAAACACAGGGACATTTTTACATGGACTTACACACAGACATTTTTTTTTTAGAAAATTGAATTACAGCAATACACTTTAGGCAAATCTCACATTTGTGCACCACTGTTTGTATCAATAACGTGTTCACTGGTTAACTTCAGTCTTCTTATGCAGCACGAACAGATGTTTTATGGAGGGAGCTGTCTCGCAATAACAACAACAATGAGCAATTAGCTAAATATCAATTTCATAAATAATAAACATGTCGATCCGGGTGTTTCCTAGGCTAATTATAAGGGGAAATAAAATGTGTTTGCATATTTCTGTGCTGGCAACTAAATGGCTACTGTATCAATAAGCATATTAAAATAAGAATATGTTTTTTAAGGCAATGGACAAACCGAAACCTCTATGACATGTATTAATCCAAACTGACACATTGTCATGCTGAAGTTGGTAAACTGACATGTTTTCATTATTTCTGATTTATTATTGGGCCTAACTTGTATAGTGTTACATTGCATGTAATTGCACAAAAATAAAAATACAGATAATCAGCGTTAAACAGTTTAGCCTTTACACCTTTTGATCATTTGACATTTATTTAAAATTCCTTATTACTTCCACAGCAGTTCTGTAATAAGCAAAACTCTCACCTTGTTTGCGTTACTTAAATTTCAAATTATCCTGATATGAGATGTAATGTCTATAAACTCAGCTCCGGAAGAAGTAAATAAAATTTTTCCATTATGAAAGTGAGCGGACCTCACTGTTTTGTGTCAAAGATTATAAGTGTCAACTTGAGCCTGAAATCACAGCAGCTCAAATTAATCAGCGTGTTAACCTCATCTCGTTGTCAGCGCTGAGGCCAATTTACGGTCACGGGATGGTAATTGATGAGATATGGCATTACCATAAGCAGTCCCACTGCCTGTAAACTTATAATTGGAGTTTCTGTAACAATGCAGGGGGGTTAAACAAAGGATTAATCATAATTAACAAAAGTATATTACTTTTCCCATATTAAACAGTTGGTTCCCACCTTTTCTATTAACATAAATTTGTTTGCAGTAATTTACTGAATTATTGAAAATACCAACCCAAGTCAAGACCCTGAAAAAATCATTTATTCCTCTCTGTGCTGTACTGTGTGTGTGTGTGTGTGTGTGTGTGTGTGTGTGTGTGTGTGTGTGTGTGTGTGTGTGTGTGTGTGCTACAACCCTATGTTTTTGTTATACACAATTAGCTGGAATTAAATAGCCTAAAGTTTTCCAACATAAAATAATAAAATAAAAAAACAGTTTTGACATTATTTTGTGTGCCATGCATTATCACAGGACGACACTGTGATTGCATTTACAGACTGATACAATGAGCAGGCCACATTGTATTATTTTACAGAGTGGAAGAATGCCTAATTACAACAAACCATGGTAGAAAAACCTTTTAATCTTTTTCTGGGTTGAATTTATAGTCACAGTAAAAGTGTAGTATATATTGGGAAAAATCTGAATGTTATTAATTGTTATACTCATCGACCATTACAGTCAGTGTAAACTAGTATCAGTGTAAATCAGTGACGTAAGTGGATATTATAAATAAACCCATTTATTTGTTGAAAAGAGTTGGCCAACCGTCTCAATCTGACATTAAATTTTAAAATAAATCTTTCAGGGAAACAGAAAGAAATTAATGGATGACATTTCTTCTTACTTTAATGACTGTTTGCTTAAAGTAATTGCTTATCTGTCTTATACTGTATATTTACCTCCATACACTCCCCATCCCAGCTCTGCCCTTGCAGTAGTTTGTCATTTTTTTGCAGAATGAATGCAGGTGGCCCACCTACCCTGCAGTGGCATGTAATTACAAGATACTGCATAACAACAGTTGATCAAACGTTATAACCACAGCCAAACTGACTGCTGCTCCACCCATCCAGGCTGGAGCTGCAACGGTGTCAGCCTGAGTGTGTGTGTGTGTGTGTGTGTGTGTGTGTGTGTGTGTGTGTGTGTGTGTGTGTGTGTTGTTCTGGTAAATCTAGCTCTATGTGTGGCTCAGCCCACCAGATCCAGCCCTGTGCTGACTACTGTGTCCTGGGCTGCAGTAACAGATGTGAAATCACATTACCCAAACGCTGCAATTAGTCTCACTCGCTCGCGGGTTAATGAGTTTGTGGAAATGTGCGACCCATTCCTCATTAGGTAATTTCTCATGCACTGATGAGAGAGGGAGAGAGATGTGGGTATAGCAACTCAGTGGAAATGGCACATAGTCCTTTGCAACACATACTGTAAAGCAGAATGCAGCTGAGGGTGGGGGGGACACTACAGCTGGGCATTTATCACCTCATCATGGATCATGGAATGAGACTTGCATGCATACTTTCCTATTGAGGATACACTGTCAAGTCTTATGTATTTGCATCCAAGAGTTCAATAACAGAGGCTTTGTCAAGCAGCTTCTATCGCCTGCTGGGGTTACATCAGTCTGTCTCATTATGGACTGCTATGTCTATTTCCTTGCTGCGAGGCCAGAGAGTCTGTGGTTGAATAGACAGCCCAGGGCAAAGCTCTGTCAGGACACAATGGACGACAACAAAAGAACTAATTAGCAATCAATTACCGACGTGTTTCTGTCCTGCACCTTTTATCTGGTTAGAGTGTAGAGCAGGTTACCACTCAACATGTTCCATTCACACACACAGACACCACCTGCTGCCTATCTATGTGTGTTTGTGCAGCAAATGTGTGTGTGTGTTTTTTTGGTGAGTTTGGATTATTGCACGGATGTATGTGGTAACCCAGTGATACGTGGTTTATTGCAAGAAAATGTAACCTCTCTCCCTGTGTGAGATAAAGGTGAAAAATCTTTAGACAAATCCAATTCAGGCCTTTAGAGGAAGTTGCTTTTCACCGGTCTGCACCTAAGAGTATAAAAGATAGTTGTTCATTAGCCTCATCTGTGCCAATCAGTCTCTAAACTGTCCTTTGTTGTATCTCATTGCTTTTGTTCATAGTTGTGATTACTTGTAGTTGATCTAAGTTTAGACTGAGGAGGAAATTCCTTGCATTAAAGAAATTTCAATCTACAACTTCATAAAAACCAACATAGATAAAGTACATTTAGTGTTAACCTAATTTGGGCATGTGGCTTGCTCATTTCAGCATCTCCCTCTCTCTTGCTGTGCAACACACACACACACACACACACACACACACACACACACACACACACACACACACACACACACACACACACACACACACACACACACACACACACACACACACACACACACAGTGACATCTGGGGGGAAAGTGTGCTGTGAGGAGGCTGCGAGTGCCTCTCATGATAACAACTCTGCATCTCAACAACCTGCATCCATCATCATCAACACTAACATCTGCTCTGAGCCTCAGCCTTAAATCTCTTTCTACCCCCCCCAACCCTTTACCTCTCTCTAGTTGTCACCCTCCTCTCTCCCCCTTTCCCACTCTCTCCTTTTCTTCTTCCTCTTCTGTTCTGTCCATCTTTTTCTCATGAGAAGCCACAGTAGCTGCATTTTTTTTTCAGCCACTCAGCTCAGTCTGCTTTGACTCTCATCCAAATTCCCTCGTCTGCAGAATATGTGTGGATGTGTTTTCGTTTCAACCATCCTTAAAATCAATATTTAATGATGATGTTATCAGTGCTTTTATGTGTAATTTAGCCAGAGTGTCAGTATGAATGAGACACTGTCAGCTTTATGGCATCGAGCATTTATTTTCTGTTAATGGGTGCTCCTGGTGGTATACAAACCAAAACCCAGAGGACGTCTGATGGATTTGACTGTTTTATTTCCATTCATGCATGCATTCACAGCCATGCGTGCATGCATACAGTACATTTCTACCTACAAACACACACAAAGTCTAGTTGATTATAACAAGTATGAAAAGTATAGAATGTTGC